AAAAGTGTAAGAAACCAGTAGTTATTTTTCGTCGACATATTCGATTCTGTCCTGTAGTTGGCATCGTCATTTAAAGACATAAAGATAACTTTCTCCAGGGTTTAATTTAAGAGGACTGTCGCGCTGTGAAACGTCACCATAAATGAAGCATTTAAACGCGAGAACGTCTCGGAGATAATGAAAAACTGTTGTTCATTATCAGTAATTTGATCGTAATTAACGTTGGGATTCTTTCACCAGGAGATGTGGGAGAAAATTGCTACCTTTAAGAAAACAAGTCATTCATGCTTGAAAAAAATTGTAAGACGAACATTTTTTTCCCAGCGATATGCAAATTAATAAGTGCGAAAAATATTTCACAGTAAAGTGTGTTTCAAATGACAGACTAAATTAATGTGCTATGAATTTTTACGTTGGTATCAGTTTTAAGATTTTTGGAATTTCTAGACAAGATTTCTTTTGATAGTGAAATAGAGCAATATACAACGTCATAGCCGAGCGGCACATCGACATCAAAAGGAGAAATTAACGCACACTATTTACATTATTCGGACTATTGTCCTCATCATTGTCGCCATATTTATTACAACGTTTCGGCCGTTGTACGCTCCGGCCTTCATCAGGTGGTTGGAATCTCGAATTGAACCCTTTATCTCGCTCACTTGGGTAGACTGTTCTAGTTCCACGTGCCATGTTTAATGGATTCCCCTCTCCATGTTCTCCACTGTCTTAACCAGGTATTGAACTCATACTCTTTGGGTCCTTTCACTTGATCTAACCAACGTCTTTATCCACGGTGCCATGTGTCCTTGAGGACACATGGCACGTGGAACTAGAACAGTCTACCCCAGTGAGCGAAATAAAGGGTTCATTTCGACATTCCAACCACCTGAAGAAGGCTGGAGCGTACAAACATTATTAAAAAATTGCTAAACATTATTAATTTATTGAATTGTATTTCTTTCATCTGTGGTGTAAATTAAAAATAAATAAATAAAAAATAATTATGCTATCACAAGTAAATGTAATAAAATAATAATAATAATTATAATTATCATTAATACGATCCCCACCCTCTTTCTAAACCAATGAGAATCAATCTGTAGAGGACAGTGGGGGTTTAAGTGTTGTTGGATTAGGAATACGTGTTGTTTATTCCTGCGAGAAGAAGGTCCAACTACAAGAACAATACCGGACTCAAGTTGAGTCCAACCGAAGATGTAAAGAAAACAAACAAGACCTATATATATATATATGTCCACAAATATATGTATTAAACAGCAAATTTACAAGTGACAAAGACATTAACATTTGTGTTTGTGTGTGAACGTGAAGAGTTTTTTTTTGGTGAATATTCGTACGTACGTCTATGTGTGTTTCATGGCGTCTTCCCACAAGTGGGCAAAAACGCTGATCTCTACGAGAGATTACATTTTTAAATGTGTCTGCTGAGATGCAAAGTAGAAAAGAGAACGAGACAAGAAGTTCCTCGGTATTTATAGTGTATGGAGAACGACCCCTAGTGAACAATTAAGGAAGAGTTAACTCCGATAAATCTCTCTCTTCTCTACCCGACACAAACACGTGACACACAGACTATCAGACAAGCCATCAACATGGGGTTTGACCAAAAATATTGGACCCTTTTCTTTTTAAACCACAACAATAATTATCTTAACACTCATAACTAGAATTCGGAGTAAGACAACTGCAGACTTCTTTTTTTCTACAACTAAATTATCTGGACTCTCACTACAAACATTATGTAAAAATGAAAACGCACAAGAAAGATTATAATACCATTTACTCAGTATTATTTTCCTTCGTGTCTTTAACCAACCAGATAAGAAATAATACTTGTTTTGTTGTCTCCATGTCTTGCTGTTTCTCATTTTCTACAAGTATTTTTGTATTTATAAATCATAGGGGTTTATAATTATTTGCCTTGATTAATAACTTCTACTACATTTCCTATTATCATTATTTTTTTCATTGCAACTGTTTATATCGTTATTTTAAGTCGAAAAGTCCCTGGTAATAAGATGAATGGAATACGGGTGTCAAAAAATAATAATACTTGAGTGTTTCATTTATAACGGAGTGCTATCTTTACTATCTCAACAAAAAAAAAAAATTCTACACAGGGAAAATATTTTCTGGCTTTAAATAACCTGTAAAAAAGATATAGGAAAAATATTTAACTTCGCACCAGTGTAAATGATTTTCTACTGCTGGCTTGTAAAATCCTAACTATATTAAGTCGATTGTGCTATATAGTATTAAAATTCAAGATAGTGACGAGATTCTGATTTTAAATGAGACCTGTCTGTTTCATTTTGATTATTGTGCACGCATGCTCAGAAGGATCCATTCGCATCTCCGACAAAGTATTTATTTTAAAACCGTTCATCCAGATTTACTGTTTGTGGGAAATATAGTGTTTTAATCTATAAAAAAAAATACTTTGATTTTAATACGTCGTATAAAATCAAATACGATTTCGATCAAGAAACGTGTTTTTCTTCAGCTCCTTTTTTTTTGTTCTTTGTCCTTTTTTTTTTTTTTTTTTTTACGTCATTTATTTTTTTTGGATTTATTTGTCCGTTTCTCATCTGCACAGCCTGCTTTTTCTCTGTTTGTCTGAATCCATTTCTGGAACAAGCCGACTCGGTGATATCTTGAACTGTCAATCATTGGTCGGGCATAAAAAAAAAAAAAAGAAATGCTGTTTCTTACAATGTAATTATTACGTGGGTGGATACATTCCCTCAGCTGCCAGTCATGATGTAAAAGAAGAAAAAAAATAAGCTTAACATATACAACTAAAACGCCGACAGTAAAACCCTTTTACCTTTTGTTGCTGTCTTCTTGGCTTTGTATTTTGCATCAGATAAAAGAATACCTGCCTTGGGTGTCAGTTTACGATTATTGCCAAAGAGTGACAAGTAAAATACACACGATAATGCACCGCGTATAGTAACAATTTATTTCTTTACTAAAGTCCATCCATTGTAAGGTCCGAGAGCCACTCAAGTTTACTGTTCGAATGGTTAAGATGAATGAGTTTTATGATATGGATGAAAGAGTAAATGGTAGGAAGTGAAGATTTTAAAACGGGTTGGGCTATGACAAAAGAGGTTCATATCGTAATGTCTAGAGAAACAAACACAGAAATCTGTTCCACAAAATGGCAGTTCTTGGGAAAAGGCTGTCAGAGTGAAACTTTCTCCTTATACAGAAGAATCGCTCATATCCGGAATCCCGCATATCAGGACATGATTTTGATGTGTATATTTGAATTATTTAGGTTATATGTTAACTGATTTGAAATTTCTGTTTTTCAGGAAATTTACTTGGGAGAATTGCTTATGCTTATTTCACTCTAATGTCTTGTATTGGTGCAAAAGATGATGGGAATAAGAGGAAAGGATAACAACGAGACACATCTGCAACAAGTTAGCGACGAGATGCATGATTGTGATGAAACCTGGACTGAAATTGAAAAAGCTATTGGAAAGGTTGTCAGCTTTATGGAAAGAAAGCCAGCATTCAGCTATGACAATTGCAATAACGCATGCAGAGTTAAAAAGTGTCTTTCGTTTAAAAAAATTTCAAGAACAAAAACAAAACGAAATACGGAAAAAGTTGAGAATGACATTAGAAGAGAAAGAATCATCAGGCAACGGCGATTAAAAAATCTTCGTTACATTATTTGTTTTGCATACGTGGCAAATTTAATTTAATGAATTTTCATTAACATTACATAATTTATTTCTTTTTCCTTAAAATCAATTCGTTATATTTCACTCTCCGTCAGCTTATTTTGTTTCCTATAAAACATTGAAAATAAATGCTAAACTTGATTTCAGTTCTTTTATTTTAATCTAATTATAACCTCTCATATCCGGACTTTGTAATCAATTCCACATATCCGGAAGGCCTTCCTAGTCCAGGTGTCTGGGATTTTACTGTATTTGGAATATAGAGGATATGAGAGATATTCGATTCCATGACTGTGGCTTGACGTGTCTGTCCTAGACATAAAGGTCTGAACTGGTGGAACTACTAAAGAATGGAACTCAGCTGATCATTTGCCATAGAAATATCGATAATGTAGCGATAGGATTGCGATGTTGCCTCTGTGGGGAAGAGGCTAAAAAATGGAAAATAAGTATTTCCTATATTCTTCTATGTGCCGTGTCTCTCCAGGATGTTGATGATCATGATTCTCCACAATTTCCTGTTCTTTGTAGCTCTTAGTAAATTATGTTTTTTGTTATCTCTCCTAAACTCTGTTTGCCATCCATGTACTCAAGATCCTCCTCCTTGTCGACCTCCTCCTCCTTCTATACGCCATGTACCTTCTGGATGTTGGCGATCATGGCTCTCCACAATTTCCTGTCCAGAGTATATTTTGTCTTTTTGCTATATGTTAGGAAGGTTATGCACTGCTTTCCTCTGGCCCTCTTGCCTTTATTGCCCTGTCAGTGTTAAATTTTCTAAGCCCTCTTTCCTCATTATGTGCCATAAAAATTCCAACTGTCTCTTTCTGATGCAAAGTACATGTGTCCTTTTTTGCAGGAGTCACAGATGAGTTCCACTTGAGCTCTGAGGTGAACTTGAGAGCCAATTGTTGTTCAAAGTATGAAACCTCATTGACAGTGGAATCGTTCCTCGTGGCCGGACAGAATTCAGTCTGATCAGTTATAATAAAATGATACAAGTTTGCATGATTCGTTTTTTACGCTTTATCAACCTTGTGTAAGTTATTTAAAGCTATAAAATACTTTTAGATTGTAAGAATCTTCTTTTTTGTTTAGATAACAATGATTTAGTGATTTTACTAATTAACCTATAGCTGAGGGGAGAAGAGGTGGATCCATATCTTTCACAAGGGGATTAGCATATAAATGAATATAACGAACTCAACTTGAATTGGAATTCAGCTCTCTGACTAAAAATTCGGAGCTATTATCCATTACACCACACGTACATCCAAGCTTACAACACCTGGTATGCCCAAGTAGTCACCCATCTAGGTACTAACAAGGCTCGGCATTGCTTAACTTCGGTGTCTGTATGGAAATCGCTGTTGCATGTTTTGGTATGCTCGTCTTCACAAGTTGAAAGTTTATGGTATTTATGGACGAATTTTTTTTTTTTTATTCAATTTTTTATCAAATCACGAAATTAAACTTGTCTTGAGTGGTCACTTCCAGATTGTTTTACATTTATGCAAGTGACCCTCTAGGGTTCTGTCTTTGAATTTTGTTTCTAATTTTCACCAGCGACCTCCCCGATGTCATTAGATAACGTCACTTATACTATACACATGTATTTAAATTAATTTAAATTGTAGCGTTTCAAAAATGCCAGGATGAAGCCAACAAAGTCTTATCTACCATACTAACAATATTCAATATTTGATAACGACAGAGATAATTGAAATTACTGAAGGTCTTCGACTTACGACAGAGTTTTGTTCCTATAATGCGCTGTAACACGTGTAAGTCGGAAAGTACCTGAGATTTTCCGTGAATAAGCACTTACGTCACTCACCTATGCTAATACAATAGTTAAGTAATAATCTAGAACATAACAACGCATTTCTATGACATATGTTAACATAATTAGGACTACAAAAAGATACACGGAAGACATAAATATAATGAAATTAAATTGTTTGAAGCTGCTTGTATATCTATTGCCAGTGATGCCATTGGCTTTCATTAGATGAGATGACGAAGCGTACGTTCTTTTCTCTCTTGCAGTACTCGAAAGCAATATCAAATCTGGAGAAGAAAGAAAAACAAACGTGAGTCTGTTTTTCTTTCTTCTTTTTTTATCGAAAACCAGATTAATGGAGATTGTGTTGTAATGACGAATCGTCGTAAGTCGGTATTGTTGCAATCCGGGTACTTACTGTACTCTCAAAGAAAAAAACAGAGTGACATAGATAAGAACAGATTGAGATGAATAGATAAATTTTTATCATTTAAACGTTATTTTTAATGGATACTCATATTTGAGTAGACGATCCATTTTTTAAACAGTATATTTATTTATTTTCGTCTACCAGAATGAATATTCGAGAAATCTCATTCAGGAAGAAAAAATGCTCTCCGTCAGGATTCGAACCTGCGTGCCCCAAGGCAAAGAGAAGCCGTCGTTAGATCCGACGTGCCATAACCGACACTGCCACGAAGAAGCCGCGACAATGTAACAGATTTTTAAAACGTGCTTTTAAGCGAAATCGTTCTCGTATTAAATTCCTCGAAATTTTTCATACTTGCTCAGTTTCCAATCCAAATATAAACAAAGTAATTTCCTAAGGTAAATGGATTTTTACTTATCAATCCGACAGTTTTTTATCACTTTAAACGAGATAGATAGATAGATAGATAGATAGATAGATAGATAGATAGATAGATAGATATGAACAGACTGAGATAGATAGATAGATAGATAGATAGATAGATAGATAGATAGATAGATAGATAGATAGATAGATATGAACAGACTGAGATAGATAGATAGATAGATAGATAGATAGATAGATAGATAGATAGATAGATAGATAGATACTTTTTTTCTTTTTAATCATTTCACACCAAGCAAGGTGTGAATGCCACTAGTACGCAGCTGGTTACAGAGGATGAAAGTGAGGGAAAAGATTAGATAAAGAGGAAATTAAAGAACGGATAAAAGATGAATGGGGTTCTAGACAGCAGAAGATGGCTATTGACATTGCATTTAAATTTTGGAAGATTGTAGTTTTCAGGGAAGCAAGTAAGCGGAGGGGAGTTCCACTGTCGGGAAGTGCGAGAAAAGAGACTTAGAGTAGAAGTGGCGGTTGCATTTAAGTATTTCTACAGTAAAAGGGTGGGACCTAGATAGCAATCTAGTAGCACGCTTAAACGCATGCAGAGGGACACCATGGAAAAAAAAGATGCTCGTCAGAGCAATTGCCATGAATATATTTGTAGAAAAGATAATTGGCAGCCTCATCATGTCTGTGTGAAAATGGCTGATGAGGATTATTCGAAATATTTTATTCACAGGGTTATATTTCAATTCAATGAAATATACATCACGTAAGTAAAAAATCAAATTAAATAAAATGTTGTAATTAATTTTTTTGTGGTAGAATAGTTTTACTAAACTTCACGGTCTTTCTAAAAAAATAAAACCGGAAAATCGTATCTCATATAAATTAAATGGCTTCTTTGAAGTGAAATTTTGTTTTTTTTATTTCAAAGATACTAATCTAAATTTAATACGTAAAAAAAAAGAAAAATTAATTTACCTCCTCAGATAAAGATTTAGACATTTTAAAACTAACAGTAAAAAAAAATCAAACTTCCGCCCGGTTCGATTAGCAAATTTGATGAACGCCGACAAGAAAAATTTTAAAAATTCCAAAAAATCGCTTCGAAATCTAATTTATGTTCCAGACATTTGTTTCATAGAAAATAAATTAATTTTAACGATTAATTTATTAGATGTTGTAAAAAATATTCCTTCCTTTTTACAAAAATATAGAACGAAAAATACCTTTTTCCCCAGCAGCGTATGTCATTCCTTTGTTAACAAGTTCAAAGGTCAAACCATAGATATCTTACAATCGGTTATCCGAATATTTGCTAATGAAAATTATTTTAAAAAATAACAATTGTCGAAAGTGAGATAAAATTGGTTTGTAATGAGTTACAGTGTTACTTCACTTTTCGACAATGGTTTTTATAATCAAAACTTCGGATAATCGATGCGATCTCCCCATTACCCGTGTTTTAGTGTGACTTTTTTTTTCTTTTTTTTTAGTGTGCCTTTCTTTTTTTTTTTTTTTTTTTTTTTTTTAGAATTTAAAGACTGTTTATTTTACCTAAACAATCAACATATTTCTGATACACAGATAGTGCTTTATCCCCGTAAAGCATTACCTGATCTTGTAAGTAAATTTAAGTGATAATAATTTCAACAATGTCCGAAATGCTTTTCTTATGAAATTTCTTATGTAGTTTTCTTCGTGTTTTCTCATTCCTCAATACTTTCATGGTAATTTTCCTGATAGAGGAACGTTTATTAGAGGTCAAACCATAGATAACTTACAAAATCTCCTCCTACTGTACAAAAAAAGGATAATATTCAGGGAATTTTAAATACTAAAATAAATGTAAGGATGACTTTATATTTATTGCAAAAATATTATTTACTTTTTATTTTACAAAAATATAACGAAAAATACATTTTTTCCAGCAGGATATGCCTCGCTTGTCAAAGTTTAAGCCATAGATATCTTACAACATCACTTTTACAGTTTTACTGTACAAAATTCCCGCTAAAAATTCAGTCAAATGCGCAAACTCATGCACAATACTGGCTGTTTCTTTAGAAAGTAAAATTTCGGAGGAGGTGTGCGTTAGTCATGGGACATAACTCAGTGATTTTTTTGTTTGTTTTATTAGATTTTCATTTTGATCTTTCACTGAAAAATCAACAATATGCAAAATATTTTTAAAAAATAAAAATATTGTAAAAACTTATTTACACTATGTATATTTTTTATTTTTAAAATTATTCACACCTGAAAATCTCATTAAACTTTATATTTTTCTCTTTTTATATCACATCTTTATTTTATATCAATTTTATCAGCAACGACCAAGACCTGAAAATGGTACTGTAGTAAAAATAGAAGTAAATTTTTCATTTTTCAGCAGAGGATTGTTTCTGTAAAAAAAATATACAGTTAGGGCCGATGCAAGGATCTCATGTCCCCACAAATCTATGACACGGAGCCCCGACTCTACTACATATCAGTTTTCATAAGATAGTATATAAAATACAAATTTTAATTTAACTTAATTATGAACAATAATGAATCATATGCAATATCGGTGAACAATTCAACTAGAAAGATTGAAAATAAATACAATATGTATCTAAATACAAATCAGAGACATGTCATAGTAGATCATTCAATCTTAAATAAATCAACAATGTTTTGCGGGAGTTTTTTTTAACGTCAACTTGAGATTTTTCTAGTTAAAACGTTGAAGAATTTTAACACATCCAACATCATGGATAAAAAAAAAAGTAGTGAATTTTATATACCGTTTTTTTTTTTTTAGGATGAGCAAAAAAACAGATTCACGGATTTGGACCCCCCCCCCAATGGCGTCAAAATCCGCGAGAATCTTTCATCCTTGAATAGTCAGTTGTGCTTAGTTTAATTTGTAACATATATAAATGTAGGTAGAAACAAAGCAAATGTTGATAAGATAGCGAGGGTCACAAAGTACTGCCCTTAATCCTCAATCAGGCTTGCGCCCCACCTCCAAGTAGCGGTAGGGAGATCAGAGGGAGTACGCACAGACCCTGTAAACTATGTAGTTAATTAAAATTGCGTTTCAGAAACTCTCCACCAAAAATGATTTTTGAGTTTTCTTCAACTCTTTTCTTAAGATTTTGAACCATATTTTCGATGTGTCCACGCACGAGATGATGATGATGATGATGATCATGATCATGATCATGATGATCATGATGATGATGATGATGATAACAACGACAGTCAAAACAATCAAAGCTAATAGACCAGACATTGTGATCAAAGACCACAAAAAAGAAAATGTGCTCTCTTATCGACATGGCAATCCTAGCAGAGTGTACACTGTAATGTATCTTTGACTATCTTCAAAAACTATCAAAAATACATGGACCTTGAAGACCAAATCTCAAAAATGTGGCACATGAGGACATCAATAATTTCAGTTGTAATTGGAGCCTTCGGACTGAAAGGAGAAGGTTCCAATAAACTCATTGAAGGGATTCCTGGTAGACCATGCCTTAAAGAAATACAAAAAATTATTCTCACAAGTACAGCTCACACATTACAAAGTGCTTACTCTCTGTGTGTGATCTTAGGGTAGGTAATTTCCACTTACTCGCTGGCAAAAACAGCATAGCATAATGAAAAAAGGCCCCAAACTTAATAAAAAACAAAGTTTTATCGTCAAAATGTTTCTGTTACTATTAAAAGGAAACACCAAAGTATTTTTTATTATTTTATTAAATTTTTTCATCCTTTTTAGCACGTTCGAAATTTTGTTT